AGTCCATTAGTCCGATAACTTTAACGGCACTCCCGAAGCAAACGCGCGACGCGACGAACCGGCTGCGGTTCGTTCACTTTCAATTAAATCGGCGACGAGGGTACGTTAGCTTCCCCATTGTTGGATTTTTATATGAAGAGAATGATTTTACTAAAGTATTTAAAAATTTACTTTATATATCATTCAGATAGATACGCAAATTTTTAGATACGTGAGAAAAACCGTTCTTTTCATGTATATCCTAGGTACTGAGCCCTCTTACCACGTCAAGGTCGTACCCGTGAGAGGGAAGATATCATCTGAAAAATATAACATACAACTGTTATTTATATTACTATGCAATTATCGATTAACTTTTAGAAATGTATATCAAACATACGTCAATTTGTCACCATTGCAAAATAAATTCAGAACGGATAAAAGGGCTGAATCTCTTATTACGATGATGTTGGATTTTTATATGAAGAGAATGATTTTACTAAAGTATTTAAAAATTTACTTTATATATCATTCAGATAGATACGCAAATTTTTAGATACGTGAGAAAAACCGTTCTTTTCATGTATATCCTAGGTACTGAGCCCTCTTACCACGTCAAGGTCGTACCCGTGAGAGGGAAGATATCATCTGAAAAATATAACATACAACTGTTATTTATATTACTATGCAATTATCGATTAACTTTTAGAAATGTATATCAAACATACGTCAATTTGTCACCATTGCAAAATAAATTCAGAACGGATAAAAGGGCTGAATCTCTTATTACGATGCGTTACGATGTCTATAAGATATGATTAGAGTCGACGGAATGGACTAGAGATAAATAAAAAAGAGGAATATTTCTTTTATTACCGACAAATAGTTTCAAAGTTACGCTTAATTTTTCATACGGATCGTATAACAAAAGATGCACGAAAATGAAAAATTAAATTATTAATTACACAAACTATATTAGTTCTCAAAGTAGGAATAGTATGAATTGTGTTATTTACATGAGAATATTTAATAACGTTGCTTTTTATGACTCATGTGATATCGTTCAAAGCATAATCAAGAATTGAAAATCATGCGTTTCGCAGGTTTTCTCCGTGTCCAGATCCATTCTTGGAATGCCTATCTTGCCAAGATAAGAATGGATCTGGACACGAAGAAAATCTGCGAAACGTACGATTTTCATATAGGAAACACCCGTGGAAGCCTAAAAAATATTATAATTAAGAATTATATTCAAGCGAGAGAAAAATTTTAGGTTAAACAAAAATAATTGTCCTTAATTATCGCGAAGTAGTAATAAATTCTGGTTTCCATTACGCATTTTGATTCCAAATGGTTGAACCGTATTAAATATCTGTTCCATGATACATGATACATCTCGATTCTTTAATGAATAATTAAAATGTAACAAATGCAAATTAGTAATCGTATAGAATATTCATAAAGTACAACGTTTCGTATTATATTTAGCATTCTTCGCGATAAGGTTTCAAAAAGAATTGTGAAGAAGAGCGGCACGCGATACGGCTGCCCGCTTATACGAGTCTCGGTAAGGAAATGACTGCGCGGTAACTTCGCATTAACGTGACGCGCCGCGCCACCTCGTGGCCCGTACCACCCCCTGCCGCCTCGTGTCGCCCGCCCTTCCGCGCCAAAACAATCCCCAAGGCCGCGCTCCGATCATCTTATTGCAGAAATATTAACGCATATTACAAAATCAGTAAATTAATCCATTCATTACATTTTTAAGCCTTGATACACACCTCTGAATCATTCATGTCCTGCGCATTTCTTTTCTTTGAAATACTAAGAGCACCTGGTCAAATATCGGTCTTTTTTTTATTCCTAAAAAAAATTTGGCGTCTAGAGAACAAATTTTGTGCGTTACCTCAATTCGTGCGTATCCTTTAACTGACAACTCCGAAGTTCACCTCTGGGTCACAAATGATTTTTCTCATTTTGTTAACTATATTTAGTTATAACAATTTTTCTACAATTTGTTATGAACATATAACTGTACAAATACTTTCTAAAGATGTCAAAATATATGTAAAAAAATCGCTTAATAATTTATGTATATTTGTAAAAGTGATGAAAATTAATCCAAGGCACGAATGATCGAACATGTGTATTAAGGGTGCCAAAAACTAAGGTGTATACTAAGGGTTAATATTCTTCGATGAATAAGCTCTATTGCACGATTTTTGCTTTATTCCTTGGATTCGTACACAACTCATCTATATCTTAGATATTTCAAATTGTATTACATTAAGTGATTATTAGTTTGTAATAACTTTTTGTTACACGAAATCCGTGCAATGTATACGCAATATATTTAACAAAAGGTTGACGCATTGTGGCTTTTTGTTACGTTTGAATCGTATCATGTTGGGATATCAAAAACATTACACGTGAGCAATTACGTAAAAAAATCGCGCTGGTAAAAACCACTTTTTATCTCTTGCCTTTTGTCAGCACATTGTAATTGATATGAAATATTTGAAATTATAAAATAAATATCAAATATGTTCTTCGTTACACCACAATATAGTTACGGTATCACATTAAACGACTCGCGCTGCTAAAACTAAACTGCTGAGTTCTGAAAAAGTCGATATAAGAAATTATTTCATTAATTCCGTGACGAAATACTAATTGGATTTTAGTTTATTTCACTATTTTAGTTTAATATAAAAAAATCAAATTATCAATATACTAATATTGATTGAATACGGGCTCGGTCGTATTTAACCCTAGCTATACATACTCTTTTCTTCTACCCTTAATATAATATACTCGGGTCCTTGGGATACCATCCATATTTGTTACCGTAACTTCCGTAAAAATGAACACATATTTTAATTAATTTTTTTTTTCAATTAATGGAGAATTGATTAAGGAACAAGTCCATAATAAAGTCGATAGAATTAAGGAGCTTCAAGATATATAGGTTCAAAGAAGAAGAAAAGTGCAGAAACACGAAAAAATCACGATTTAACAAATTACACTAGAGTTTCTGGAACCTCAGTATGTATAGCTAGTGTTAATTCGCATTATTATTTCATTACCTAATCAGAAACAAAATACGTACGCAACGATAGACATATTTAACTTATTGCTTATATTTTTAACTTAAATTTAATTGATAATTAGAAGTTACTAACTGATTAGTTATTTGCTATAATTACACAATGTACATCAGAAGATAAAATCAACTGAGCGACAAGGATTAATATTATTTCAACTGTAAAATAAAATTGAAAATTTTTAAAAGCGCGTAAAGTTATATAATGTAATAACAGTCCATTGGTAATAAGAATTACCAATGAGTGAGTTCAGATTTAGACAAGATCCTCTCGCTGATTAATTTGCGAAACGTACGACGTCTCAAGCGTCTAGTTTCTCTCCACGTTCGAGGACGACTGACCTTTCGCCGAGATCATTATAATTCGAGCTAGTCATACTAATACAAGGCTAATAACAAATTTAAAAAAATGGTAGAACATCTGTTTAAAGAGCCTTGTTCCAATCATCTTGACCTTGACATATCTTGTCAAGGTCATCACCCTGAGTAATATTCAAAAGATTTTAGCTGTCACTCATTGTTTATTAAAAAGTTATTAACATCAAATGTGATTTATATCATGTTTTGCTACAGATAGGACCAGATCGTATTAACATTTACTTTGAAATTTTATTTATTTTGAAACTGTATTTACATGATTTAGCATTTAATATCAAACTTTCCTAATTGTAATAATTAAAAAATCAATGTACAAGCTGTAATGATAATAAAAGCGTACTGTATATATAATACATTTCCTCTTATAAAAAGGGAATTCTATCTATCGAGTGAGAGTAAATTACCGATAGTAAGTATAAATACTGGGCAATGTATTTTATAATACCATTAATATCAATTATTTGTCATTCTTTGTATTAATGTTGTTCGTTTTTTGTTTTCCCAAATTTCTCAAAATAAAATTCTTTATTTTATAAATAATTCATTACCTACAATTTAATAAAAAATAATTTATTGATAAGTTTCATAAAATTATTAAAAATAAAACAAAATGACTTCTCTTTTTATTTCTAGTAGCAACATTGATTTAAAAACAAAGAATCTAAAAAAAGACTTAATTAATATATACTTTTTAGTATTTATTTCAATTGTTCCAGTAAAAAAAACTGTTTAAATTTTCTAATCCAAGTTTCCTAATTCTAGTTTTCGTGTTTCTCAAAAAATATTAATTAAAATTATTTTATTTAAAATTTTTTATCACTTGTATCTTGAAATTACTTGTGCATAATTTTACAAATATTTGAAGTTAAATTTAATCTAGAACATATAAAGAACAGATTTAACTTTTAGATTTAATTTTATCATTAAAATGATATAATTTTGGAATAAATGAAATGAAGACTTTTCTATAAAATAATCTTAAAAATTTGTCAAGTTCAAAATTTGTATCTTACAGAAATAACTATCAACAATTTTTAATACTTTACATCAAAAAGAATATATACAGTTTAATTTAATTAAAATTTTGATACCATCTTAACAACTATACTATTTAATTAATATAATTTCTTTATTAAATGAAACTTGTGAATGAACTATATTAAATTTTTATTTTACATGTAAATATTCGATTATCACTAATTTATTAACAAGCTTGAAATCAAATTTAGTAATCGTTTGACGATTTTCCAACTTTATTTTCCGTGTAGTTGTCGCTATTAATCTTAAGAGCAACACGTCATAGTGACAGGAAATGGCTAAGACAGCGCTCACAGAGTAGTAGGATAAATAGTCTTTGGCGAACGTGTTGATCGGACAGTAACGACGCCGACGCGACGGTAGCAAGGACGGCGGCGCAGCTGCCGAGAACGTCGTTTTCACTGACGCAACATTGATCGCGCACCTCCACGGGCTATAACCTTTGCATTTTCCAACGAGTTTCGTTGCGACTCTGCGGAGTTTTGCCGTCCGACAAAATTCAACCAAGGTCTACTCATCAGCCTATACCTCACATCTTTTCTGGTTGTACGCAATATCGTCTATTATTATTTGGACGTCGTGTGCTCCGAAAAATAAAGACCATGAAGAGTTCCAACTGATAGTCTGAACAACCCCACGAACGAAACCCAACAAAAGCGGAATCATCGCTTTCGGAGGAAAAGTTTTGTGTAACATCACCTGATGTGTCAAGTGTGTCTTGTTGCAGTTTTGGTATGATTTGATTCTTCAAATGTTGGAAAATAATAGAGAATTGATCGGTAGTTTATTGCGACGAATGTTCTATGACCTTGCGCAGCATAAAATATAAATAAACAGAAGCGTATTATTTTTATTGCTGCACGTTGTATCACGAACGTAATCGAGATACTATACATGTCCCTCCATTCTTTCTTGAATTTATTTTTATTTTGATGAAGGGAAAAAGAGAGAGAAAGAGAGATTATTCAACGAGAATTTTTACCTTATCATATCCGCTTCCGCCTCATGGCCTTTATTAACATGCTTATTCACATGTTTTACTTTTTCATACAGATAACACATGCATAACGATTTGCGCGTTTTTTAAACATGACGTATGTCGCAAATATTTTTATCAATCATATTATTATATTTACATAAATGCATAATGTGACTACCCCAATATATTTCAGACAGACTCGGTACGATTCCCTAACGCATCGAATTAAATAAATTATTAATATTATTAAATTTATCAGAGATTTATTAATAAATGTTATAATGCGATATTTATTGTTGCCTATGTTAAATTGTTCACATTGTTGTCTATGTTATTTCTATAGTGCAAAAATTCATATAGAAAGGACATCTTTCAAAAAAAAATATTTTTTAAAAGTTAATATTAATAAGCAATTTATTAATAAAGAATAAAATAGACTGTATATTTTTAAAAATTATTTTACCAAACGTGTAATAATTAATATATATATATATTTTTTTTTAAATAAACAAAAATGAAATATTTTATTATTTCGACATACAAAAAGTATTCCATACGATCGATGTATGGAATAAACGAAATTTAGCTTCTGAGGTCAGGAACACGCGAGATTCTTTTATTTATAATAGAACAACGTATTTAAATAAACGTATTTAAATATTATAAAATTATTATTAAATTGCTGATGTCATATGATAAATCACGCTTCTGTGTCATACAGTTAATTACAGTATTATATACATGTAAAATATTATTCGTGCACATATAAAGGTAAATTACCTCTCTTACAGAATTATTCAAAGAATGTCGATGGCATTTGAATTGCGGCAATGCCCTTGATTTAGTCGTTGCGAAGATTGATATTTAACGAGGAGAGAATTAAAAGGCCTATGAATAGCCATCAAAGAGTATGAATGACCGTTACTCGTCGACGGTTGCATCGATGCGAGATTCTTCCCGATAGCGGCGTCGATCGCAGACGTCAGCGATTGACGTCATCATCATTATCATTGGCTTAATAGTAACAACGATTACACATCGAAATCATGGAGAAGCAGGAGTTCTTCTTTGCGAATCTACAATATCTGCCGATCGCCGTTTTTATCTCCTTACCTACAGTTTTCATTTCAACGTAAGTCCAAACAGTTAATAAATTATTAAAAAGTTTATATATTCATAATAATTTATTAATATCTGTTAATTTATTAATACCTATATTATTGTATTTATTATTAGTGTCTTGTGTATATGGGGGGATGGTACACGCACGCGCACTTCTATCTAATTGTAAGTTTTCTATCAAATTATTCAAAAGATGTATTTCACAATTCACAGATATGTAATAGCTGTCTTACTAGGACATGTGGAAGCTGGTTTTCCTTACATTTCTGATACAGCGACTTACGCACCAGAAAGTTCTATCTTCTCTCAAATTGTCAACCTGATCACTATTCTCAGTAAGTAGAATATATATCTACAATATATTTTCCGTAAACGATATAATATCATCCATAAACATTTTATATATATTTTATATCACATCAATGAGTTTTCAAGATAATCATAATTCGAATAGCTGTGCCAATTATATTACCGTTTACAACGACATTTACTGTTTACAGTAACATTTCTCTCATTGTATTAAAACAAGGAAACTTTGCTTCTGTTATTTAATTAAAGTTTATTACTTATAAAAAGTATAAAAAGTATATTTAAAAAATTAGGAATCGTGAAAATTATAATAAAGTCATAACTATTAGATAATAAACAATCATAACATATAAATTTTATGCATCATTAAAGCTGATTGCAACTCGTTTTAATTGCAGTGGGTTTTGCGATCTATATAAGATATTCCCAAGTTAAGGAATGCATTAGCTCTGATGATTCACCTACAGATTCTTTGCTTGCAAAATGGAATTACTGGGCTTTAATTTTCGGCCTCATGTCAACCGCCGGTCTATCAATTGTTGCAAACTTTCAAGAGACATCAGTAATAGTAGTTCATCTTATCGGTGCATTTCTCTGTTTCGGAGGTGGTACCGCATATTTTTGGAGCCAGGTACGTACGAAAAAATTACATGTTCAAAACAACGAAAATTTATTAAATGTTTAATGACTCATAAAGATTTAATACAGAATAAACAAATAAAAAAAGTATATAATTTAACTGTAGATATAAGAATAAAATCGATTGCTATCATAACAAAGTAGGTAAAAGAAGCTGATACTCATGAAAATGAGCCGACTATCTTTTTGTTACAGGCCGTATGTTCATTTTGCTTGTACCCATCAGGGTGCTCGTTACGAGTTGCACAGCTTCGTACGGCATTATCGACCTTCTGTACCGTGTGCTTCATTGTGATCGTCATCACAGGCGTATTGGCTCATTCGGCCTATAAGGGTTGGTTTGTTAATTTTTAACTATTGTTTGCATTGCATGTTGTAGTGTTAATATTTAAAATATATCTTGTGTGTAGGAACAAATCCCCGGAAATGGAATAAGGAGGATGGCGGCTGGGAGTTGCATGTGGTTAGCACCATAACTGAATGGCTTTGTGCAATAGCGTTTTGCACTTATATCTTAACATTCACGGAAGAATTTAGGGATATCAGAATAATTCCTCCAAAGGTAATTCTTGTAAATAATACATTTTAATGCAGCAAAAAATGTTTTATGTTCTATAATAAAAACTTAATTTTTTGGAATGCTACACAAATATATTGTAGCAGTTTATAAAAAAAAAGTAATATTTGATATTATAAATGTAGGAAATTTTAAGACACATTAAATTTAAAAAAATTGAAATCTTTTTTATTTTTAAAACAATAGAGTCTCGCCACCTTCTATCGAGGATGAATACATTTATATTATTTGCGTATCTGTCAACAGGTGATATGTAACATACACCGATTGAATTCGATTAACGAAATATTGAACGAGAGCCAAAATTCCGCCGTAGTTCATGATCAAATAAATCCATCAACCAGTACCTGATCGCTGATAGGCAGAGGCGCCGGCTATGTCAATCTTCTCTCGCATTTGCCGGTTGACACACCTTGTCCCGGCTATCGGTACCGCGAATCCAGAGACAATTTGCTGGACGAAGCGGCACCGCTGGTGGCTACAACACCGCCAGCGCTGCACGACAACGCCGAGAGAAATTCCGACGTCCTCTGCCCGGTAGAAATACATGTACATGATCCTACAATACGTGAACGACGACGACGTTCCATAAACCATCATACCGAGAAGCGACACCGAAGAACCGATGTCGAGGACGGTTCGAAGAAATGGATCGATCTCGACGATAATGTACTGGACGGTTATATCTTAATCGACGACAGAAATCTTGGTCCTTCAGTTCCCGAGATTGATGGTGAGGAATTGCCATATCCTAAGGATGCTACGGAATACGATGATGACGATGATGAAGACGATGGTAATCAGGACGAAGATACTGATAGTCAAGGCAGATTCAAATGGTCGATATACAATCGATCAAAGGGGATTAATTCAAAACGATACCAGTCTGATTTCGATTTTGGTATGACATATCCGCTCGCGAATAGTCATGGAAATGCCTATCAAGATTCGAGCAGTCACAGTAAGTACGCGGAACTGTATTCGAAACATCAAAGTGCTAGGAATAATCTTGAAATGGCTCGCGATCTTGATACGTCATCGTACATAGTAGCAAACAGTCATGGCGAACATGGTAATCCTGCAGTAGATATACGAGATCGAGGTTATAACGAGAGCTCGAACGATAATCTGGCGTGGGATACATCAACGGATATGAATTACGAGATAGCCAATAGTCACAGCAATTATCGTGTATTCTACGACAGTCAAACGCAGCATCAAGCTATGATGCCTCTCTGGTCTTCAGAACTATGGTCGGAAAATCGCCGCGAAGAGTCTCACGTTACACAGGAAGAATCTAAGGATAATACCACGAAAAAGCAGGATAATGAGGCAAGCATGAATCAATCAGAAAAGAAAGACGAACCGGATTCCGAGACTACCTGCGATATCGAACAATGTTTGGTACAAATCGAGGAAAGTCTTTTAAATATTGAACAAAATCTCCTTCATGTTCAAGATTTGGACATTCCGGAGTTGCGGAATTTACTCTACAAGAGTCCAAGTATCGAACGAAGCCTTTATGAGGTACAGGATCTCCTCCATGCCGATGGCATTGTTCCGGTCATTCCCAGGAATAAATCCATGTCTCTCGATTCGGATGAAGAGGAGGAAAACGAAGAGGAGGAAGAAGTAGAAGAAGAGGAAATCTGGGTAGGTCAGAATATAACGATCAAGGATAACGACAATGAAGACGGAAACGCGGGCGCTCCTGTCGTAAATAACTCCAATGAGGAATGCTCGAATATAATCAACGTTGACCAACATAATCCCTCAAGATCGGATGATGATCATTGTATCGATAAATCAAACGTTTTAATAGAAGAGGAAAAGGACTCGAATTCTCAGATATGTTCAAAGAAGAACTTCGTGCTCAATAGTCTTGGCAAAACTCTACCAAGAAAAATCGCCCTAGATAAAGTTAAAGAAAATATTAGGTTGTGCTCGTCAGAACCAGAAGAACCCGCAACTACAATCGATTATAACTTGAATAGCGCATACGTTGAAAAGAAATCCCTCTTCCGCGACAAGTGGCATAGCAGGGCAAGCTCTTTGGACGAGAACTCGATCTTCCAGAATTCGGAGCTCGGTGTTAAGCAAGAGAACGACAAGCCCTCGTTACAAGACGTCTTCCTCATGGCCACGGGGTCTCGTCGCTTAGCAGTCAATGCGAAAGCACTATCGGAAGGTACCTTGCAAGCCAATAAAAGAAAACGACATGACAGAAGAGGATCCCATGAGGAGAAATTTCTACAGGCCGTTGAAGCAACAGCGGCAGACTTTCGGAAAAAACTCGAGAGTTTTGCGTCGCAGCGACGATCCATTCTGCACAAACAGAAGAAGATGACGCCGAAATTAGCCAAGGAAGTTTCAGACAATGTGACATCACAATCGAAAGAAAACTCGCCCACGAAACCGAAGCGGGTAACGACAGCTAAAATACAGGACAAAGACAATGGCGCCGATAAAAATACCAGTTGCGATAAGCGAAAGAGGAAAAAAATGTCGGGGAAAAATCAAGGTGCCTCGGAGAATGCTTTGGTCCCCAGCAAACTGATCTCACTCTCGTTATCGTTGCTCCTCGCGGCCCTCCTTCAAGCGGTCAGATGCTTGACGGACCTCGTCGAAGATGCCTTTAGGTCGGTCAGTTACGACAAAAGCGGATTGCTGCAGTAAACTACATAATAAATATCGGACAATGCATGTCTCGATTATATCGTAAACGTCACCGGTGGATATCTAAGTGATGTTTAACGACAATTAATCATGTCACCAATAAACCTCGTAATTATTTAAGAACATGATATCTGTGATAAACACTATGCTTAGGAATCTTGACGGAACTTGCATTAACCTCTGCTTCCAAAATATCGAAATTGACGAAGTTCATCTTGTTGAACAAATTGAAACTGATTTTAAAGAACTTATAAAGATAACATGCTGTGAAGGTGATTGTATGACGAGCAAAAGTTAATCTCAACAGTTGCTCTTTCTCTTTGAAATATAAGATTAATAGATAGATACAACGAAGCAAACTACAATATAGTGCGTAATAAATCTGAATAACTCGATGGTGCTGAATACGGGCTAAGCGTGTGAACGATATCTTAGTATTACGTATGTATGGTCAAAAGTGCCTGAAACCCATCGCGTATCATATACGAGGTGTAATACATGATACTATTAATAACGCTATTTACATCTACCTACATAAATCTCTTTTTTCAAGTTGTAAGAGCATTGAGAGAAAATAAAGTGGAGCGAAAAGATGAAATGCTTGAAACGTAAAAGCGTAAGTCGCTTTTCCCTGCTTCATCCATCCCCTTTCTTTGCTATTCGAAAAACGTAAATCTGAAAACGGTAATATAGTATATATATTAGACTTTTCAAGTATTCGATTTAAAAGAAACCTCTGATTATTAGAATAAATGTAGTGAGATCGATAAAATTTTATTATAAATTATCAATTATATATGTATTAAAGTAAAAAATACAGATATATATATATACTCTGAAATTATATTATTACATTAATTATAGGATTCAATAAAAATTTTTTAGTTTTATATTTCATTATAAATGGATAAATAATAGCTGTTATATATAAATAGATAAATAAACAGCTGTTATATAAATAAAAAATGGAGATAAGTCATTATTTATAATTTCACTATTGCCGATAAAAAGAAGACAATAGTATTTCTGTTTTTTCAACTAACAAATCTCAATTAAACAACAATAAATCAACATTTTCGTGATAATTTATGAATTACTATCACATCGATCACTACATCACAGATTTATTTTCAACAACCTCGTCGTTTTACTCACCATCGATCATCCTTAGTACGAATTGTAAATTAGTACAAAATGATTTATACATTATATGTACATTTTGCGCGCAAAATAATATGCGAGGAGCAAGGGTGGAATTCAGATCAATGTTTCATGCTTATCGCACTATCATCGACTAAGGTCGAAAAGAGGATATAGTAACGTGATACCGAACTATTCCAAAAGGTTCCCTTAATTTCGAGTTTCTCATCTTACAATCAGTTAAACAAAGTCTCGAGTTTCCAAGTCAAGGCTATCTTTTGCAAAGCTTTTTCTAAAGATATAGTTACTTCCTTGTTCGTTCATGTACTGTCGATCTCAATAACAACTGTTAAAAAATTTATATATAATATAAATAGCATCAGTCTATAAGATCAAATTATAATATTTTTCAGATATTACAAGATTGGAAATCGATAATTGCAAAATTTCATGACATTTAAGAGTATGTAAATGTAAAATATAACTCTAGTAGCACAATTCATTGGTGCACAATATTGATTGTAAATTGGTTGCTATGTGAAGATAGCCATGGATATACTTAGATCTAGGTTGAAAAAGCGTTATAAACTCATTAGATACCGCGATAACGCGAAGACGGTTCCACTCTGATATTTACAAAGTATAAAAACAAAAGTAGTATTACAAAATAATAGCAACGTAAATATTATAACGTAGATATTAATATATTAATAGACGTTTTAACAATATCAAGAAAAATGAATTCTGTATCTTTTTTCAGGATTTTGATAAAAAAACAATGTTTTATTGTAAAAACCCAGATTTAATTCAGTTTTTACTCCAAAGTAAAAAAAACCGTTTTTTTTTCATCTCTATTCCCAACATCGATTAGTGCTTGTAAAGTAGACGCTTTACGTTTTATAACAAATATTGAATTTCAAATATCGGGCGAACATATATATCTCTTGTTTAAGCAAAATAAATAATTAGTAAAAAATATATTAATTAGTAAATAGAATAAACAAAACAAAAACTTTATCATATGATATGATTACACATCTAGATAGCACAAAGAATTCTCAAATTAATCTTCAATTATTCTTTTTTTCTGATCTATAATTTCTCAGGAATTAAAAAAAAAGAGTACAATAAGAATACTTTAAAAAGTTACATGTACAAGGTTTAGAACCAGCTTACATCATTATTTCATTCATTAGAATATGGATGACAAATCTCATATTGCTGCACCTTTTATTTTATCCTATGTACTTTTTTACTTACGAGAAATAGAACTCCACGTCGTATACTGTTCACTGACAAAAACTTCAGTTTTTATCCAATATTATCATAATGATGTGTAATATTAGCAATGTAGTCGTATTAAATTTATAGCTATTATAATATTGTCTTTACATTGGCTCAAAAGATCTCCAATGCATGCCAATATAATCACTGTTTAATTAATGTATCGCCAATGAATTATGCTATTAAGGAATAGAGTCACAAAATCCTTTGTATATTTAATTTGCCAGTTTTCTTATTGCATTTGATTTATATTGCAAAAATATATAAATGTATAAAATTGAATTTTCTTACAATTTAAATAATTCTCGCATGCAATATATCTTGAATAAAAAAGTAAGAAAAATTACCAAATGTGACAATGTTATCATTATTACGACGTTTACTATCATATAATAAATGCGTATAGATAGCACGATCGGGTAAGTTCTCTTTCCAGTACATCAATCGTTTAGAAACGACATCACTCGCATTCTCTTCTATACGAAAGCCCATTCGCTCAGCTAGCCAATGCTAACATAAAAACGCCATTACGAAGATGGAGAGTCAGACATCGAGCGCGTCTTCCCGGTCTCTTCCGAGCCTTAATACTAAAATATACCCTCATGTGAAAATGAAATTGAACGCTCGGTTGAATCTATTCCCTACAAGAGAAAAAAGATCTTGCCCCTTTCGAGAGATTCGAATTTCATTAATGTCCCTCAGCAGTTTCTGTAATATTCTCTTGAAGATACGTCATTCCTTATAGATATCAATCATTACGCTTTATATGAACAGGCATCACAAAGGACTACGCGATATGTAAAATACATTATTGCTATGCTGATGCTTATCAGAATGTATTTCAATCCTTTCAGAGTTCTGGTGAATGCCATGTCATTATAGTTATACATTCTTATCTCGACAAAGAGACAAAGAGTATTTCAACTATTTTTCGATTTTACACGCGTATGCACAAACCTCATAGGTAAAATGCCGGTAAAGTTAATACAAATAAAAGCTTTCAGAATAATGTGGATATCTCACGCTTATTGTTACAACAAGATGATATTAATACGATAGTTCTAATTCTACTAGGAAATATCTCCTAACTGTGACTCTCTTTTGTTAGTTATCTGAATAGCGTACTGAGACAAGACGTATAATGTTTAGAAAATGTCTTTATATTTTTTAGACATATATATTGTCTGTATTATCCGACATATCTACTTATTATCAAGCACGTTAATAATGAATACTTTTTACTTTGTAAAATTTGCATGAAATAGACAATTTAATTAATTCAGTCATTAGATATACATAGATATTATAAATGATGGCTTTGGTTTGCAAAACGTCATACATTAAATAGTAATACCGTACATTAAATACATTTGTTAGCTTATACTGACTTTAATATTCTCGCTTCCTTCTTAAATTCGCCAGTCCTTTTATTTGATTTATTTTTTCACAAAGAGAAATCTTTTTATCCAACCATAAAATTTATTTTACTTTAAAGCTTGGATCTACGTCATATAATGTTTCAAGTCAAAAGCGTCTTTCAACTTTCTCAACAATCCTTTGACGAAACGTACACGTAACTGATGATCTTGTTCGTCTCGTTTTCCGCTTTGTTACTAGCGACACGAAGGACTGAATAAAATATAGTAATGCGTCAGAGAGGCGAGCGCATCTATGCAGCTGTTTATGCGTCATCCGCTTCGCACCGTCACGTCACGAAAACCGAGACAGAATAACTTATTTAACCTAAAATAGATTACCGTGAAAATCATGCACACTAAAATTTTCATAATGTTGATAAATTACCAATTCTGATATCAATCTTCGGAGTTGCACGAATAAAGATCAGATATTAATTTTGACGAAACTTCATAGATATAATGAAATGCAAAATTAATATACTGTTTAATTTTAGCATAACTTCAAAGCATCTCATATTCTATATATGTTACATATTCATTACAACGATTAATAGAACGCAACATAATAAAAAAATTTGTAATTTCAATATTCTTTTGCACGTTAGCAATATGTGTTTTAGTAAAAAAAACCAAAATTGCGTCTAACAACTCATAAAGCGTCTGAATTCACGTAATTCCAGCAATTTTATAAGCTATGTAACAAAAACTCAAAAGCTCAGAATTACAGAAACATTTTACGTACGTTTTACAAAGATGACAATCAAAAATTTTTTTTGTTATTATTAATTTTCTATTATTCTATCATTCAATTATTATTCTAAAACTAATTCTATTATTATTAACAATGTTAATTTTTATCTCAAACAATTTATCTTTCAGTAACACTATTCGATAAAAAATGACTTTTCTTGAACACTGCAACGAGACAAGTTATTTCCCAAAATTTCTTTGAATACGAATTCGGTTTCCAAATTACTTCATTATATCACAATTTTGAGAAACTTGCAGCTAAAGTTACGCAGAAAAGGAGTATTTTCAGGAATATTTTCATATTATAACTATGATATGTGACATGCTAAAGAGATTTTAGTGCAATCAAAATGAAATACGTTCTAGAACTTTCAGTCCTCAAAAAGAATTTTTAGTGTCGGCTACGGTTAATGAGATTCATAGTTATAATATGGGGTTTTCTATGGAATAATTGTGAATTAAGTCATTGATTTACCAAAAGCTTTCAATTATATTTATATAAATTTAAGGGTTTTTTAGGCCGCAAAATATGAATCTAATGTCATAATTGACAAATTCAAAATGCCTGTCATAATTTTGAATTTATCAATTTTGACATCGGACTCGTATTTAATCTAAGAATTTCTTAAGTTTAAATAAACATAATTGAAAACTATTCGATAAATCGTCACTGACATTTTTTCTACAATAGACCCCATAACTATTAATATCTTATTAACCATGACCGACATTAAAAATTCCTCTTGATGACTGAAAGACCTAAGAGCATATTTTATTTTGATTGGAATAAAACTTCTTCAACACGTCACATATCGTAGTTATAATATAACAAAGTACTTGAAAATAGCTCTTTTTCATACAAGTTTAACTGTCAATTTCTCAAAATTATGACGTAATGAAACAATTTGGGAACCAGATTCGTATTTAATGCCGAAAAAACGGGAAATGACTAATCTCGTTTAGATATTTTTTTTTTTTCGAACAATGTAATTAACACGATTTAAAAACTTTGCTTGAAAACAGATTATTGTATACACAGCTATTATTTCCACATATTAACTTT